AATTTACTCTGACAGAGTTACCGCTTCGTCGTTCAGATGCTTGCGGAAACGGTGATCCTCCGACTATTCAGCACACACGAGGCGGCGGCTAATTGGCTAGCGATGCCGACACGATCCCGCGCCGGCATGACACGAAAAGGAAGGCTGGTGTACAACCCCCTTGAGGTTTACTCGGAACGGGATGTGCCACGATTCTGGGACGGGAGCGTGAGGAAACCACCGCTGAGTTCTATTTTCTTGGCTTAGCTAGGCCAGCGTATTGTGCGATATGATTTTGCGCCTCCTAATCCATCACGAGATTATGGAGACATGAACCTAGTTGTGGTTCACGAGGACTTTCCGGGAGTAGAGAACATTCCCGAGGTTAGGGGGATGTTCCTCCATATTATACTTCATTTGAACGATTTGCATGGTCCATTCGGCCTCCTTCATCATGTGAGACGGGTCCGAGCGAATAGATTTAATATCATTCGCTCGGAACGTTTCGACGTCACCGCGTTTTATGACAAGGCTTGTGAAATCTACAAGTGCCTCTTCTAACAGGCGGCTCTTTCGGTGTGCAGATGTCCGGCGGACGGCGAGATCTTACTCAGGCCAGATATCTACTGATTCGCGACTCTACGGACGAGGAGCAGATCCGGCGAGCGAAGCGATTATTATTGGTTCGGGGTGGAGCTCCCACACGCTGGATTGGTTTTATCGGTTTGCTCAGCGATGGGCAGGGATTCTTTCCCAACTCGTGCGCGGACGTTCGCGCCAATGTGGCCCGACTTCCGGGAGAAGTTCATAGATATACCTTGTACTTCCATCGCGCGAGCAACCTCCAATGCCTCTCTCGGGTCATTGTGAGCGTTAAAATTACCCTACGCGGGAAGCGCTACGGCGTCATCCGGATTAAGGACACCACGACCACGCACCTTTTTCGGATGCGTCAGCCGTTCCGCGCCATAGTCTGGAAGCTCGCCTCACGGATGACTTCTCTCTATGATACGCGGAAGATCCGAGTTGTGCGAGGCGTACGTGTCTCCACCTTGACGTTTGACAACGAGGAGCTAACACGACTCGGCCGGATAGAGGCTGAGGCCCATGAGGGCCGACAGGTTTATCTCGGCTAAGCGCACCCTCTCAAATCTGGTGTCATGGTGAGTTGTCCTTATAGTAGGGTCACGCCTATGTGACTCTACAGGGGTAATAATAACAAAAAAAAACAACGACCTTGTGTAGGTAGGCCAACCAGATGGATAGTATCTGGATTGCCCCGATGATAGCACTATCATGCTGATGCATTGAGGGGTAATCAACCACTTAAAAATAAAAACCGAACACCTAAGGAGGTGTCGACCAAAAGAGCGAGGGCGAAGTATCAGGAGATGAAACATCTCCATGCCAAGTATCTGGTGTTGGGGATGGGTACTTCGTCATTCGTGGAACGGAGAGAGTATTTATTGCCTAGGAGGACGAATCGACCGACAGAATTGTCAGTCGCTCCCCCGAATAGATGTATGCGGTACAACAATATGGTCGAACCGAGAGTTCAAACACCGACCAGGAGCCAGATCACCTGTTGATCTGCATGGTATCAGCGGTATTTATTTATATAAGTTGTGCGTGACGGATCTTCCATCCTCGGATGGCAGCAACATTGTCTCTCCGGTCATGCAAGCAGGAAATGATAACCTTGGCAGGTCGTCTCGTCAAGTCGAAATGTTGGTTATGAGTATGAGATTATAACGGGACTAGGATTATACATTCGATTTCATGTTTGGTCGAGGCCGTCCTAATCGATCGATGCTCGTTCGTACCGAAGAGATCAGCGCCCTCGGGAACGGACGACGTTCGGGTCCACTTGGCGTTAACCAAGCGTACCTATACTTCAACGAGCGAGCAAACGCCCTCGGCTGACCTACCTCTGCAATTGCATGTAAAAGCTTTCGCACGTGGGTCGGTAGCTCGGCGGGGATACGCCCCTAAGGGTGGTGACAACCCCTTAGGGAAGATAAGTTGTGCCCCGCAAAAACCTATCTTGTCGTAGGGGACCGCGGTATGTATAGCTGACGCACCCGGTTAGAGTGGCGAAGGGACAATGCGACCTCGTCCGTCTCAGCGGTCCGCGAGATTATTTCTGCATCGTCCTAAGTTGTCTCTCGATTATGTTTTTCTAACTCATGCGTGACATAGCCGGGAGGGCCCTCGTTCACGCGAGGGCCGATGCGCTCGACAGCGGTATCAAGGCGTAAGGGATGCTATTTTATTTATGTTTCATTCTTTCGTTGTCTCAGACAGACGCCCTCACTGATGGCAATATCACTCTTACACTTTATAAAATGTATGTGTTATCTATCATGGCGTTAAAGATGGTTTTTTTTTTTTTTTTAATTCGCAGCCCTAAGGTTCCGGTATAGTGGGCTTTAGTGTTTGTGTCAAGGTATCACAATTCTGGCGGCGGGCGACCAGGACGCAAAGTGGGTTCTTAGTGGGCAAAAACAATTGGGGAACCGGTCCTTGACAATATTACGGACTACCTACAACTTACTCTGGTAGAACCGGGACTTTTGAAAAAAAGAAGGACCGGTCTTCGGGTGGAAGCGGACCCCAAAAATAAGTGGGGGGTGTTGAACTGGTCCTCGGGTGGAAGCGGAACCGAAAAACAAGTGAGGGCATATGAATTGCAAAAGGGCTTTCAAGCCCAGTGGTTGAGTTTCTCGTCTTCTCAAAACAGGGAGGTCATACGCAACGAAACATACATTTTGCTAGAGGCCACTTTGGTGATTTTCTGTGTTTGGAGGAACCTGCAGAAAAATATGGAATTTTAAGAATCCATAGATGAGGACGTGTTATTTCCAGGTAAAATATTATAACATTTTCAAAAAATCATTTAGACCACGAAATAATCGTCGCACCGATTTAACACATTTTCTATTTTCGCCACTCACCCATGTGTGGGCCAACTGAAAAACTACTCCAAATTCAGTGAGTTTTCACGCTCAGAAGAATGAGTAAAAAGAAGTGAAAATTAGAGTACTCGTAAATTTTGTAGTCATCTTTCCAAGAAAAACGCTAAATAAAAAAAACAAAATCATTCCAACTGTGAAATAGATTGCGACCGCAATTTGATCCATATTTCAATTTTGCCATTCAACCTCTCTCTCTCTCTCTCTCTCTCTCCCTCCCTTCCTTTCTTTGTGGTAGCCCCCCCCCCTCTCGCTCTCTCTCTATCTCGCTTTCTTTCTCTTTATAATTCTCTCTCTTTCTCTCTGGTAGCCCCCCCCTCACTCTCTCTTTATCTCTTTCTTTCTCTCTCTTTCTCTCTATCTCTCTCACACTTGTAACAATAAATGAAACAAAACTCTCTCTCTCTCTCTCTCTCTCTCTCTCCCTCTCTCTCCTCTCTATCTCTCTTTCTTTCTCTCTCTCTTTTCTCTGTCTCTCGCTCACACTCATAACAATAAATGGAACAAAACTTTTTTTTTTTTTTTCTCTCTTTCTTTCTCTCTCTCACTCTTTATCTCTCTCACATCCATAACAAAAAATGGAACAAAACTCTCTCTCTCTCTCTCTCTCTCCCCCCCCTCCTCTCTCTCTATGTCTCTTTCTTTCTCTCTCTCACACTCATAACAATAAATGGAACAAAACTCTCTCTCTCTCTCTCTCTCTCTCTCTCTCTCTTGTGCGTGTTTTTAGTCTCATTGCTTTGGATACCTTAGGGCTGCGTTCCTTGCGCCTACGCGGTAGACAATGACAAGTTCCTCGTGCCCACCTGGGGAAGGCCTCTCATGCTGGCCAAAACCATAGAGCTGAGTTGGACCGTTTCACATGAGCCTAAAATGATGAAGCTACCTTCCAAAACTTGTCAGCCTCTAACTGGGTCTTTTCATAGTGGCCTAGCCGGTCCTGTCTCGTGCCCGAACTGGCCTGACCCCTCCAACGACCGGCTGCGAACCGGCGTCCCAGGTCCGTGCTTGTACGCTGATCCTGTAAGGGGCCTGGGGCAGGTAAGAGGAAGCTGCAAGGGTGATGATTGGTTCTGGTGCATGAACGGTAGGGTTCAATTCCTGGTGCCCTGAAGACAATTTCTGGGCCACGCTCTAACGACTGCAGAAAGTCCGGCTGGCCCGAGCTGGGGTCCGGGGCGAGAACGCTCCCCCCTCAACCGCTGCTTGTCCATTTCGGAAAAACGATAGGCGCGCCAGGTTCCAATGCTTGGTTTGGCGTACCCGCAGCCGCCAGCGCCAGCCCGCCAGCCCGCCAGCCGACTGCCGTCCGCCGTCTGCCGGCTGCGTTGCCAACACCGAAACTCAGATGGCCGTCGCGTTTGCCGCATGACGATGCGGGCCCGGGGGGACCTGTAGGTCGGCCTTGTTTGGCGACGGCTGTGACGCCACGCGGCAGTCGTTGACCTAGCTGCTTGGTCATCACGACGTGGAATTAGTCAAGGTAAGTGATGGCGACTTCCCTGCGTAGTCCTCGCCCTCCTCCTCCTCCACTCCCTCTCCTCGTCCGCCTCCCTCCCTCTCCTCGTCGGCCTCCTTCCCTCTCCTTCTCCTCCTCCTCCTACACGTCCTCCTCGTCCTCCTACTCCTGCTCCTCACATGTTCCGATCTTTGTTCTTCGTTCCCATGAATAGACTGCTGAGCGATGGTAGTTGGGCGGAGCTCAAAACATGAATAGGGGAAAACTCTCTTCTTCCCAAAAGAGTCGGTTTGCTGCAGCAGAGTATGCAGCGTGTATCTGAATGTGGAAGTTCAGCAGGGACACAAGCGATGTAAGGAAGTCGTAGCTGGAGGGTGAGATATAGGGGGAGGAGGCACGTATGTTCGGCGATGCGTGCCGACGCAGGGAGTGTGTGTGTCTCTGTGTGTGTGTGCGCGTGAGAGAGAGAGAGAGAGAGAGAGAGAGAGAGAGAGAGAGAGAGAGAGAGAGAGAGAGAGAGAGAGAGAGAGAGAGAGTTGTTTTGGGGAGGGCAGAGGAGGAAGGCGCAGGAGTAAAAGCTGAAAGTGTGGGCATTTGTTTTAATCTGTTAATTACGGTTGAGTTGAGTTATGTGCTGTGGCAAGTTTTTTGGTTTACGGTGCTTTTTACAAGAACATTCGAGAAAGAGCAGAACAATTCTTAAATTTGCAGTTGTGGGAGACGGATGGATGAACCTTTGTGGTAGATGGACGGTTGAACCTAGCTGTGGTTGATGGGTAAATGAAACCAGCAACTCCAGAACTTACTGATTCTGCAAGTAGCAAATACGCATATGCTTCCTGTCTGCCTTATAGTAAGAATGGCTGAAGGCTCTTCTGAAGTGTGCACAAAGGGAGAAATAAACTTGATAACTTCATGTTGGTTGTGCAGCCATCGAGTCCGGGTTAACTAAGTCAAACTTTCCTGAGAAGTAAACAAAAAAATCAAAAGAAAGGGAGTGTCGGTCTGGTCTGGTCTGGTTGCATCTTGCCCCCAGCTGTTTTTATCTGGATGTCCACTCCCATGCAAGCCTGATCTGATCTGGTTCCAATCGATGCATTTTACCCTCGGTTAGCTTTCTGGTCTAGGACTCTCCAGAGTAATATCGTCATTTTCCAAGGAGAGACATCTAAGGCTCCAATTCGGACCAGTTTGGGCAAGTTTGTTCCAGACTGATCTTGGGTGTTCCCATCCAGCTTGATTGTCTGTCGCCTCAGGGAATGGGTGGTCCAAGCTCAATTCAGTGTGGTTGAGGCTTATTTCAGGTTACCCCACTACATAACGGGACCTGGTCCACTCTAGCAAACTTCTGATCTGGTTTTGGTTCAGTTTGGCACATTATTCATCTGGCCCTGATCCAGTTTGGCCCACTACTCTGGTCCTGACGCTGGTGCAGGCTCGTCTGCTCCTGCCCGGTCCAGCTTGTGACTTATGCAGTGGCCCTGCGCAATTCACAATTCAATGAGGAGGGGGGTTGAAACAGAATAGTGTGGCAGACACCGAGTAGAGACACAGTGCAACAAAGAAGAAAAAGGCAAAAGAGACTAGGGAGCGATGAGTGGGGTAGTGAAAAGGAAGAGATATAGAATAGAAATGTGATGGTTGAGAGGGAAGAAAAATTAAGAGGGTTCAGCACTAATGTGGGAAGATACTGGGGACTGGAATCAGCGGGGATGGAAAGGATGGTGGGATGGGAAGACACTACGAAGGGGACAGGGAGACTAAAAGGGAGGTATAAAGGGAATGGAGAAGCGACGAACAGTCTGTCTTCAGAAAATAGAACGAGAAACAACTGGGTAAGGGAGGAGAGGACATACGTGATAAGAGACACAGGGGACAATATAAAGGAATAAAAGAAAAAGATGCATAAATGGTAATGACAGTGGACCGAGTGCTCTGTAGGATGAACATGTACAACAATTGGGATGGTGGGCCAGAGTGCCCTGTAGGGAAGAAAAGGTGCATGGGGAAGCTGGGGAGGAGGATCGGGGGGGACGGGGAGGGTAGGGAATACTACTTTCTTGGGGGGGGGGGGGGGGGGGCCGAGGGGAGGACTGTTCTAGCGGTCCCCGGCCCCTGAGGCGGGACACAGCGACTGGGTGTGTGATGCCTTCTGGATGTTCCCCCCCCCAGGGTGATTGGGAGCGATTTCAACAGCCAGATCAAACTGTCGCAAGTGGCCTTGGGTGCTGGCTCATGCTGAAACCTCCCAAACACCTTGTGCTGTATTTTGCTGTCTATACCCTACCCAAATGCTGTTCTATGCTTGCCGGTGATAAGCAACCAGATTGTCGCCCCCAGAATAGATGGGGCATGTGTGTGTGTGTGTGGAAAAAAAAAAACAAAAAAACTTTTAGACAATGCAATGTTTTGCAGCTTTTTTTTTTTTTTTNGAGAGAGAGAGAGAGAGAGAGAGAGAGAGAGAGAGAGAGAGAGAGTTGTTTTGGTGAGAGATGGATAATGGTAAGACAATGTAGTCGGGAGAGTTTTAGCATTGTCAGAATGAGTTAGGCCAGATGAGTAATGCGCGTAGAAGTTACCGTTGCTCGTTTTTGTGGGTGGATTCTGGCGTTCAAATATGGCGGAAAATGTGCGTCATGGCGGGAAATGATGTCGATTTTCAAATTTGGTGGCAAATGATTTCACCTTCAAAATATGGCGGCTAATGTGCGTCATGGCGGCAAACGATTTTGCCTTTCAAACATGGCGGCAAAGTTTTTCTTCTATTCAAGAGAGTCAAGCATGACGACCTTCCTTCCTTCCATCCATCCATCCATCCATCCATCAATGAATGAATCAGTCGTGTCAATCAATCAATCAATCAATCAATTCAATCGGGGTGAGGTCATACCCTGAAGCCACCGTTTTCCCCCGAACAAAACACACCCTCGTCACGACCGCATCGGACCGGAAGGAGACGTGCGTTTTTTCTCTTTTTTTTCTTTTTTTTTTTAAACGGGCTCGGTGCCCCCGAGAGCAAGATTGCTGAAACACGGGTTGTCGATCTCCGCGCTACCGCCTTCCACCGAACACGATGCACCCTGATTTTGAATGTATACAAGATATGTTTCCGGTCTGATACGGGCACGATTGGGGTGCGTTTTGCTCGGGGGTAGACGGTGCTTCTCGGATGACCTCATGATTGATTTTTAGCTCTGAATGAAGATCATGGATTGGTGGTAAGAATATTTTTAACATCTATTTTTAGCCGTCAAGATGAGGGATCTGCATGGCTGAGGATCGTCAAAAAGGAATTATCAGGGCATAGTCTCAGCAGGACTTATCCCCGATGTATCTGACCGTAATTACGGCCGTCCGTGGTGAAAGTATCTGCCCGTAATTACTTCCAGAGCTCAGTGTAACTGTCCTCAGAGTGTCCAGATCCGTTCTGTCGACTGCTGGCCCTGCTCTGGCAGTGTGTGGACTCCCCGCTCCATGAGGGCGTACTCACAGTAGGAGTTTTGGAACGAGCTCTGGATGTCATTGCAGTCAGATACATCCAAGACCGGTCGTAATTGCGGTCAGATGCATCAGGAAAGTCCTAATAGTGTGATTACATCCTCAGTGCTTGTATAGCAGGTGCATGAAAGGCATTTTTTTTCCCCCACCACAGTTTTTCCTTTAAATACCTCGGTGTTTGTTTCCGTCGTCTTGTCTAATTATTTTTTTAATTAATGTTTTTGTTTTCTTTCTTGTTTAACGTTTTTCGTTTTTTTCTTGTTCAAATGTTTTGTATGTCCAGGCGGCTTCTGTAATTACTGGGTGTGGGCTTCTGTAATTACCGGGAAATGGGCCCTCTTTTCTCTCCCTCTTTCCCTCGCTATCTCCCGCTGTCTCTCTCTCTTCGACCGATGGCCGAATGGTACACGTTTGAAACTGTTGATATACGAGAGGTCGAGAGTTCATATCTCCGACCAGATGCGTCCGTTCTTTTACTGTAAATCTCCTGCGCTCTAATCGAGGGTTCCGAGTGTGTTTAATGAATACGAATTTAAGGGTTCCGAGCTGGTTTGCCAAATGCGCCGACTTTTTTAGGGATGTGCTCTATTCGAGGGCGAGTCATTGTTTCTAGATGCATCCGTATGTGTACAATGAACCCCCTTACTATCAATCCATGAAGGCACTCGAAGGCGAATCATTGTTCTCCCCTTCACAAATGGAGATGGAGAGAGAGAGAGAGAGAGAGAGAGAGAGAGAGAGAGAGAGAGAGAGAGAGAGAGAGAGAGAGAGAGAGAGCAAACTTTTCAGTGGATGCGCTCAACTCGAGGGCGAATCATTGGGGGAGAGAGAGAGAGAGAGAGAGAGAGAGAGAGAGAGAGAGAGAGAGAGAGAGAGAGAGAGAGAGGACATGACTGCAACTCGCTGGGTTGGCCTCGAATAGAGAGCATGGGCAGTGATCACGCCTGTACGGAGGTCACATCTCCGACCATGCATCCGCATGTCTACTGTGGATCCCCTGTGTTCTAATCGAGGGAAAATGGCGTAGCATCTTGATGGAAGTGGAAAGACTCTGGGCGGAAACTATAAGCTCGCTCGCTGAGGGCGTACACACCACACTCAAGACTTGATGAAAAGTGATTTTGCTGGCCATTACGACCACATTCAGCCGGAAAGTCCCAGTGGGGGTTTGTGGCCGCCGAAGTGTGTTGTCGATAAGTTGGAGACAAGTTAATTACTGTATTACGGTAATTAAGGGCATACTCACACCAAGCCCTCAAAATCGCAAAATCCCAAAATGAGCGTGCAGATCTAGTCCTTCCTTTACAGGGACTCCATCTGGCCGCTCATTGTGTGATTTTGCGAGTTTGAGAGCCTAGTGTGAGTATGCCCTAAGTAACCAGTATTTCACTACCTTTTTTTTTAATTTTTTTTAATTCCGTTTCTCGTCGTTTATTAACCGCTTGTGTCGGCGCTTTTCACTTTTCTTTTGTTTTTCCTTTTTTTTTTGTCGTTTACTTTTTTCTTCTCCTTGTTTAAAATATCTTTTTTTCTCTTTTGCCAGGACATCAGTCAACGCATTCCATCCGACCTCTCAATCTCTTTCTCTTTTTGCAGGACATTTTTTTTTTCTTTTTCCGCTTCTTGATTTCTTTTCTTCTACTCCTGGGAAAAGGACGGTGTTGGGCCAGTGCTCATTGTTGCTTTCCCCCCAAAAAAAAGAAGTTACTCATTGCTTCGACTTGATGTGTTTGTGTTGTGCATGTCCCCTTGTGTGGTGTTGTGCCGCGACATGTTTTGTTTGGAGTACGCCACGTGTACGCTTCGCTGTTTTCCGCAGTGGGTGCGAGTGTGGAGTGGGCTTGTGCATCCTAAGCGAGTGCGTGTGTGTGTGTGTGTGTGTGTGTGTGTGTGTGCGGGCGTGTGAGTCGACACGTTGCATTTGTTGTGGAACCGGTGGAGAACGGTTGAGCTATCAATTTGGATTGGTGATGATTGGTGATGGGCAACGCGGGAATGCTACTCGCCCAGGGAATGACACGTGGCAATTGCTGGTGCATCAATGAGGGACAGTTGTTTGATCAGTGCGGGACGGGAGTAAAAGCAGGGGGACGGGGAGGAGGAAGAGGAGGAGGAGGAGGAGGGCGAGGGAGAGGATATCTAGAGAGGCGATTTCTGGAAAATGGAGGGTAACGGTTCGGAGTGCTGGTTAACTGTGCATGCACGGCAGAGAAGACTTGGGAGCGTCTGACCTTTGGTGTTGCCGGCCGCTTGATGGATTGATTGGTTGATTGGGTGGTTGATTGGTTGGTTGGTTGGTTGATTGGTGGGTCGAATCATCTTCCAGCCGGACACTTGGACTGCAATGGCAATACACTGACTGCGGCGCTTGTTGATTGGTGCATCGTAGCTCTCACAAGGGTTACACAGAGCAGCTTTCACATCTGTACCGGCGCAGATGAATGCATCTGGACGGAAGGTCGGGAAAGTGGGAGCGCCTCCATCGGCTTACGGATCAACGGGTTGCTTACACACGACGGTTCGCTGAACGTTCGCTGAACGTTCGCTGAAAGTTCGCGAGTGTGTGGGATGATGATGGGCTTGAACGTAACCGGCATCAATCAGTAGCAGAAGGGTGGTTTAAGTGGGTTGAAAGTTCAGCAGCGGATTGTCGTGGTAAGTTCGACAGTGTGCGGAATGACCGAGCGGACCGGGTAGGAGGGCTACAAGGGGAGTAGGTGGAGCACGTTGTTAGTTTGATTGCGGGAGCGGGGGGGAGGAGGGGAGGAGGGGAGGAGGTCGAGCAGGAGAAGAAAAGGGGGAGTGGTGGGAGGTGGAGAGGAGGAGAGAGAGGAGGTAGGTGAGAAGGCGCAAAGAAAGCGCGTTGGGCGGACGCGCGGAGTGGGGCAGAGGAAAGGAGAGGGAGGAGAAAAAGGGGAAGGGTGGGAGGTGGAGGTGGAGGAGGGAAGGGGGAGAAAAAGGGGTAGTGATAATAAAAGGGGAGGGGTGGGAGGTGGAGGAGGAGAAAAGGAGGAGAAAAGGGGTAGTGGTAGGGGGTGGAGGAGGAGGAGAAAAGGGGGGTGTGGTGGGAGGTGGAGTAGGGAGAGAGGGAGAGAGGGGAGGTGCGCAGGAAGGGGGCCATAGAGAAAAGTGGGAGTGGAGGGAGGGAGAGAGAGAGGGGTAGAGATGGGAGACAACTCACGTCATAGGGAATCCTCGTACAATCAGGAGTCGTCGGAGAGAGGGCACATGTCAGAACGCAGCCACGTGGACAGAGTTCACGAGAAAGATCGCGGCGGAAACGAGTCGGGATACGGTGGGGAAGTACTGGCGTCTCGAAATGGGCATTCGGGAGGGGGG